GGATTCCCAAGCCTAAGTATATGTTAACATGTTAAATAAAATGCTCTTTTTTTTGTCCTACCGAAAATGTCCCTGGAGTCCACCTTTGTTATTATTACAAACTACACTTTCAATGTGATTTTAAACCATTCAAGTCAAGAAGACTCGCGGGCTGTTTTCTCTGCTGCACACACATCCTTGTGTAAGTGTTCTTTAGCCTGTTGATTTTCATTCATAGTATTCAGCTAACTATGAAATATTTTACAATAAGATATCTAATATTTTTTATTTATTTATTTATTTGTTATTTTTTTTACCTTATTGGAATCGAAATTAGGAATTGACAAGAATTGGAATCATTAAAATTCAAACGATGCCCAACCTTACCCATACCCCACATTATTTTTTTACTGGCACCTTTCAATTCACACGGTTTTAGACCCTTTCTTTTCTTTTAAACCTTCACTTACCATTCTTTGCTTTTGCCCTTCTTAAAAACAACCACATAATCTTATACGTGAATGTACTTTTCAAAATTAGTTATAAAACAGTTGCTCCTGGCAACAGGGATAGGTAGTATGTTTGCTTAACATAGCGTCAAACATGACAATTTATGAGACTAATATCATGTTTTGCTCCAAAATCACTATATAACATCAGTCATGTTTGAAACAGTCAGCTTCTGTGGTTCCACGTTGCTTCTTGTCACAGTGAGACAGAAAATATTTTTTATAAAATTTTATACTGTGATAAAAGTTGTCAATTAATGTTGCATTGCAGTTGTGTGTTTATTGTCTTCCACGTTTCATCAGTCAAAGCATCTCTATCTGCATGTTATTCAGCTGTAGTGATATCTGATGCATTTGTCCATATAAGGGATTTCCTGGGACTCACTTGTGAAACAAACATTACAGTACATGCGTGTTAGGGTTAGCCATGCTCCATAGTGCTCACATCTTATTTTGGGTAAAAATAGAAAAATAATACTAAAGTACTTCGTAATGCAGTAACTTGAGTAGTTTTTCAGCAAACTACTTTTTTACTCTTACTTGAGTCATATTATTTTTCAGTAATTTTACTTGTACTCAAGTAAATTATTCCTTAAGTAGCAATACTTTTACTTAAAGGGGTCATGTGATGCTGCTAAAAAGAACATTATTTGGTGTATTTGGTGTAATGAAATGTGTTTATGCGGTTTAAGGTTAAAAAAACACATTATTTTCCACATACTGTACATTATTGTTGAGAGCTAAACTATACATGTGGCAAGCGGTGCAAACAACAATACCAGGAAAAGAAGCCATTACTCACTGTGATTGATGAATGATTTTGACTTACCACTGCTGTTTGATGAACTCGTGAAAAAACAGAGCAAGAGAGAAAAGAAACGGAGCGAGAAAAAAGAAAAAAAAAGAAAACAGCAATAGACGCAAATGGAAACGCGAATGACAAGCTAACCGGCTAACGAATGCTAACGCGCTGCACTTGCAGTTTTAGAATAAAAGCGAACGATCAAATTAATCAGATTAGTTTGATAGATAATATCAGAAATATGGTGGGAATTAAGTGCTATTTTATCACTTTAAACAACAGAGAGTGTCACGGTATGCTGTTGGAAGGAGTATGAGGGAAACGAGGAGTACAATCAAAAGTCTTTAATCCAAGGAACACACGGTAAATCCACACAAAGGGCGCTGGAGCAAACACACGTACACAACGAGTAGACCCGACAGAGACAGACTGCACAGACTGGGACTTAAATACAGGGGATGATTTGGGAAAAAACAGGTGCATGGGATGGAAGTCGGTATGGGTAACCATACTTGGCCACATGTCACGTCACTTTTTTATTTTTATTTTTTTATATAATCAAACTAATTAACAAAACGAGGACAAGAACATGACCAAATCAGGGAACAGAAACAGGGGCAAAACATGACATAGACAGTCCATGATCCTGACATATCGCCCCCCTCCCGGAAGGTGCGTCCTTGCACCGTAGAACAACAGAGGGGGGGAAATGGGTGGGAACTAAGGAGGAGGCTCAGGAGGAGGACGGATGTCCGGGAGGGGGCCGGCAGACAGAGTCCAGGGAGGAGACGATGGAGGGAGGAGCCAAGCAGGACCCAGGCCAGGATGGCGCTCTGGAGGAGCGGGCACTGGAGGGCGCTTTCTCTGGAGGGCGCTCTGGACTGGATTCAGGGACTGGAGCCCTCTTCTCTTCGGTTTGGCACTTTTGCTGTGCCATACTCAGCCGCGGTGCAGGGGGCGTAGCTCCTCTCCACGCTCACACCGTCCGCGGCTTTCTCCCTCGTGACGGGCATTGTCGCCGGCTCTCGCAACTGGTCTGACGGATACAGCTCTACGTCCGGGGCGATCCTTTGCTCCGTCGCTCGGCTTTGCCTCTGCCGACCGAGGCGGAGATCCGGAGATCCGTGGCAGAGCCAGAGCGACTGAGGACCAAGGTGGAGCTGGCGGGAGGAAGGAGCCCAACGGAGCC